TCACAAAAGGCACAATTGCAGCCAGGCTTGGCTTAGAGGCTGCTTTCTTTAAATAAACCATGGCTTGGCTGGCCACATTTCTCTTTCTGGGTATTGTCTTCTTGGTATCAACTCCTGCTGACCTCAGCTGCCTTCCTTATTTTATGATAAATCTGTGTATCAGCCTAGATCAGTATTTTTTCAATTTTGGTGGCTTTAAGAGGGGTGGACTTCCACTCCCAGAATTCCCCAGCCATCATGCTTTAAGAGGGGTGGACTTCCACTCCCAGAATTCCCCAGCCAGCATCTTTAAGAGGGGTGGATTTCAATTCCCAGAATTCCCCAGCCATCATGCTTTAAGAGGAGTGGACTTCCACTCCCAGAATTCCCCAGCCAGCCTGCTTGAAGAGGGGTGGATTTCAATTCCCAGAATTCCCCAGCCAGCATGCTTTAAGAGGGCTGGACTTCCACTCCCAGAATCCCCCAGCCAGCATGCTTTAAGAGGGGTGGGCTTCCATTCCCAGAGTCCCCAGCCAGCTGTGCTTTAAGAGGGGAGGACTTCCAATCCCAGAATTCCCCTGCCAGCCTGCTTTAGGATAGATGGACTTCCACTCCCAGAATTCCCTAACCGGCCTGCTTTAAGAGGGGTGGACTTCAATTCCTAGAATTCCCTGAGGTCAAGTGATCAAAATTCAGACCCTTGGCAACTGACTCACATTTATGACGGTCGCAGTGTCCCGGGGTCACGTGATCCCTTTTGCGACCTTCTGCCAAGCAAAGTCAACGGGGGAAGCCAGATCCACTTAACAGCCGTGCTACTAAATGAACAACTGCAGTGATTCACTTAACAACTGTGGTGGGAAAGGTTGTAAACTGGGGCAAAATTCACTGAACCACTGTCTTGCTTAGCGACAGAAATACGATCGGTCGTGACCATCAGCCCAGGACTCTCCGCCCAAGGCGAAAAGGATGTCAAACCGTTTGTGAACTTTCCAAATTTAGAATTTTCCGGAGGAAGCCGAAAGAGAGGAAGTGGATGAGGAGGCTGTAACAGCCCGGAAGGCTTTCACACCGCTGGGGTTGTGTGTCCATTGTGTCCTTTCCTGGATCAGGGGATCCTGTGCAGAGTCCAGCCTGCTTTGGCCATCTCCTGGCTGGATTGCTGCAATCTGCCCTTTGTGGGGCTGCCCTTGAAGAGTATGCAGAAGCTGCATCCGGTTTATAAGGCCCCTAAGGCACTGCGACCATCCTAAATAGGACTCAGTTGCCAAGGGTCCACGCGACCATGGGGACGCTGCAAGGGCCGTGTGAAAAATGGTCATTATTACTGTTAAAAAAGGGTTGTCTTTTTTTCAGTGCCATTGTAACTTTGGCCGCTAAATGAACAATTCTAAACTGAGGACTACCTCTGTGCTTAATCTACCAGTAGCAATCTTCAAATATTCCAAGGGTACATGAACGTCTCTTATTGCCCTCATGTGCACCTGCACAACACAACCTGCACACTTTGGGCTATATTGCAGTACCCCTATTTTATCAACGTTGTCACAGGCCTTTCAACTTGCTCCATTTTTTTCCCCCAGTTTTTTAACTGCAACGCTCAGAATTACACCTCCCAAAATAGGTTCCGGCTGGCGCAAATTGTCCTTTTTTTAAAAGATGGCTGCTCATTGTGCAAAGGGGGAATGCTCAAGTGTGTTTGTTGAAATTCAGGATGTGCCAGTTTCCAAAGGCATCATAAACGGGACACAAACTGTGTGATGCCAAAGTACACATGCGCCGCTAAGCTCAGCAAGCCATGGTTAACGCCCTCCAGAAGCTCTGACGATGGCTTAAGTTATGCCGGCTTTTCAGTGTTGGGAGTGGTGTGTCATTCACGCAATTAGTGAGATTTTACTTTTGTCATTACAGATTCACTCTGGAATTGCTCACCCCTTTCATTTGTCTTTCAATTGAGTGTAACAATGCCTAACATTCTTTTATGTTATGACTTGCTAAAATTGGTCACCTGCAGCGTCCCATTGCTGCTGCATTAGTGGTTTGACCCCATTTGCTTCAATTTTTCTGTCCATTCAACACTAAACATCAAGAAACACGTTAAGCAAGGGAAAATTCACTTATTTTCCATGCTGTATACTATAGCAACATAGATTTATATAGATTTTCCATGCTGTATAGCAACATGGATTTATTTCCCCGTCGGAATCAGCAGCCTTTTTAACTAATGGTTATCATTCCAGGTTAAAAATCAGCATTTTGGGAGACAACTACCGTACATGCCGGAGTATAAGACAACTTCCGGAAGCGCTAAACTCAGCGCCAAGTCGTCTTATACGCCGGAAATACTGGTAGCTTCCGGTGTATAAGACGACATTCTAGGAATGTGGCTCGGCAATAAAGACGGGGGCGTCTTATACGCCGGGTCGCCTAATACGCCGGCATATACGGTAATAGGAAAATCAAGTGGGCCTTAATAGTGAAATGTAAGAATTCTTTATCTGCAAACTTGACAGTGATAGTCTTAACATTTCTTACCCCAATAACAAAATGGGGTTGCTTATTATGCCAGCATATTGTTCTGTGCTAATATAAAATATGTATTATATATTGTGGCTAATATTGTGCTGTTTGGAGAGGTTAAAGCACATTCCTTTCAGAGATCGAATCCTTCTTCCTCCAAAAAGAGAACGTCTTAAGACACGGATCGGCAACCTGCGGCTCTTTCAGCCATCTCCTGCAGCTCCCTGTCCTCAGCCATGTGCAGTCTGGAAAAAAAAAAGTGGGCCTAAAATAGTTCAACCAATCAATTCAAATTTCTTTGGTTTGTGGGACTGCCCACAAACCTCTTTCCTTCTTCATACTGCACGTGGTGGCCGAGAGAATTGCTGGAAGTGTCCCTGGTAAGGAGTCGAGGGTGGCCAGTCTCGGGGTGCCTCTTCCCTGCCCGGCGGGTCTCTCCTTGCCCTGCTCCGCCGCTGCCTGTTAGTCGGGGCGGTCGCCGGGGGTCTTCCGGAGTTTTCCCTCTCCCTCTCCGCCTGCGCCTTTCGGCCGTCTCACGGGCAGCGGATTCCCCCTGGTGCCTGCCCGGCCCTTTCCCCACCTGCTACGCGGTCCTCTTGGCTGTCCTCCTGCTGCTGCTGGTCGCAGAGTGAGGCGGCGGCAAATGGGCAGCCACGCCACTTCGCCGTCCTCCTGCTGGAGACCTTGGGCTGCGAGGGCAGGGCCGGGACATCCCTGCGGCAGCATTCCCCCGTTGCCAGCGCAGCTGTCCATGGTGCACCCGGCCTTGGCGCCCTCCTCTTACGACAGCAAAGTGGCTGAGGACGAGCAGGGATGGCAGCCGAGCCACCGCCACCGGAGCCATTGCCTCCCATCCTGCTCCCTTCTGCCCATTCAGCTGAGGACACAGCGGCCACGCCACTGCCACCAGAGCCACTGCCTCCCGTCCTGCTCCCCCTCCCCGCCCGTTCGGCTGACGTGGCGGGTGCGGCGGCCGGGCCGCACCACCATCAGAGCCGCTGCCTCCCATCCGACCCGCTGCCTCCCATCCTGCTCCTCCCCGCCCGTTTGGCTTAGAATGCGGCAGCTGAGCCACCACCAGAGCCGCTGCCTCCCATCCTGCTCCTCCTGCTCCCCCTCCCCACCCGTTCGGCTGAGAACCCGGCGGCCGTGCCGTGCCATCACCACCGGAGCTGCTACCTCTGGTCCTGCTCCCCCTCCACGCCCATTCAGCTGAGGACACGGCAGCCGGGCTGTGCCATCAATGCCAGAGCCGCTGCCTCCCATCCTGCTCCCCCTCCCCGCCCATACTTTGTATAAATTGGAGTTTTGTGCCACAGGCACTTTGCTAAATTCATTGCTAGCTATAACCTTTGGCAATTCCCAGTTGACCAGGGTAATTTCATTGCCATTAAGACACTGAGTTCCTACCAAAAAATTAATGGCATAAGGGAGCTTTATTGTTCTTCCTCATGTTTTCTCTAAACATCCTATGTATCTGGGAAGGAAATCTTTGATCCTCCAGATAGGATTGAACTACAACTCCGAGAGTCCTATCAGCAGGTATTATAATTCAGCAACACCCAAGCCAGTTCCTCAGCTGATTTTTCAGTGCAGGATTATATTGTTTACAAACATCAAACTGTCCTCTAAGATTACCAGAAGATGCATCTAGTTTGTGCCTTCTTTTCATGTTACTGTGTCAGCCATATAAGACAACATCATATAGATCAGGATTACTTTTACAGAGAGAAAGAGGAAAGAGAAAAAGAGAGGAGAGAAAAGGAGAGAGAGGGAGAGGAGAGGAAAAAGAGGGGGAAAGGAAAGAGGTAGAGGAAAAAGAGAAGAAAAAGGGAGGAGGGAGAAGAAAGGGGGAGAAGAGAAAAAGGAAAGGAGAAAGAGAAGAGGGAAAGAGAAAGCAAAGAGGGAAAGAGGGAGAGGAAAGAGAAAGGGGGAAAAAGAGGAAAGGGAGAAAGGGAGAGGAAAGGGAAGAAGAGAAAAAGAGAAAGAGGAAAGAAAAAAGAGAGAGGGAGACCCTTTTGACATCTAAAATGAACACTGCATATCTCTTTTACATTTTATATATACACACACACATACATTTATACATATTAAAGGTAAAAAAGGATATATACAGTATTATCTTCATTTTAGATATCAAAAGGGATTTGCGGCTCCCAGTGTTTTGTTTTCGGTGGGAAACGGGTCCAAGTGGCTCTTTGAGTGTTTTGGGTTGCCTACCCCTGGTCTAAGAGCAAAAATCCTAAAGAGAACTACCAATTTTTCTCAAATTTGAAACAACTCACTTGTCATTTCATGCAGACCTGTATGTAAACCTAAAGGACTAATCCATCCAGGAGTGCAAAGTAAAGAAAGATTTGTACCAGAATAAACATCTTTAGGCAGATGATTTTCTACGAATTTAAACAGAAATATTATCTTAATCTGATGTGTTTTACCATTTTAATCATCTTCTTATGGCGGAACCAGAAAGAGACATTAACAAAGGAGTTACTATTCAGTAATGTGCAACAGAAAACTTTATTAGCATTGACACAAACAGTCTAGCAGTCACGGAAACTTGCATTAACCTTACAATATTGAGTCATTATACTGCTACAGTGCAAACAAATGTTACTAGCAACTTGAAAATTGTTCAGAACACCTAAATGCCTCCTCTCAGACGGAGGACAAGATGGAGGGTGGACTCCTTCTGGATGTTGTAGTCGGAGAGGGTACGGCCATCTTCCAGCTGTTTGCCCGCGAAGATCAGCCTCTGCTGATCAGGAGGAATGCCTTCCTTATCCTGGATCTTGGCCTTGACGTTCTCAATGGTGTCACTGGGCTCCACCTCCAGGGTGATGGTCTTCCCAGTCAAGGTCTTCACAAAGATCTGCATCCCACCCCTCAGACGGAGGACAAGATGGAGGGTGGACTCCTTCTGGATGTTGTAGTCGGAGAGGGTGCGGCCATCTTCCAGCTGCTTGCCGGCAAAGATCAGCCTCTGCTGATCAGGAGGAATGCCTTCCTTATCCTGGATCTTCGCCTTGACGTTTTCAATGGTGTCACTGGGCTCCACCTCCAGGGTGATGGTCTTCCCAGTCAAGGTCTTCACAAAGATCTGCATCCCACCCCTCAGACGGAGGACAAGATGGAGGGTGGACTCCTTCTGGATGGTGTAGTCGGAGAGGGTGCGGCCATCTTCCAGCTGCTTGCCGGCAAAGATCAGCCTCTGCTGATCAGGAGGAATGCCTTCCTTATCCTGGATCTTGGCCTTGACATTCTCAATGGTGTCACTGGGCTCCACCTCCAGGGTGATGGTCTTCCCAGTCAAGGTCTTCACAAAGATCTGCATCCCACCCCTCAGACGGAGGACAAGATGGAGGGTGGACTCCTTCTGGATATTGTAGTCGGAGAGGGTGCGGCCATCTTCCAGCTGTTTGCCGGCAAAGATCAGCCTCTGCTGATCAGGAGGAATGCCTTCCTTATCCTGGATCTTCGCCTTGACGTTCTCAATGGTGTCACTGGGCTCCACCTCCAGGGTGATGGTCTTCCCAGTCAAGGTCTTCACAAAGATCTGCATCCCACCCCTCAGACGGAGGACAAGATGGAGGGTGGACTCCTTCTGGATGTTGTAGTCGGAGAGGGTGCGGCCATCTTCCAGCTGCTTGCCGGCAAAGATCAGCCTCTGCTGATCAGGAGGAATGCCTTCCTTATCCTGGATCTTCGCCTTGACGTTTTCAATGGTGTCACTGGGCTCCACCTCCAGGGTGATGGTCTTCCCAGTCAAGGTCTTCACAAAGATCTGCATCCCACCCCTCAGACGGAGGACAAGATGGAGGGTGGACTCCTTCTGGATGTTGTAGTCGGAGAGAGTGCGGCCATCTTCCAGCTGCTTGCCGGCAAAGATCAGCCTCTGCTGATCAGGAGGAATGCCTTCCTTATCCTGGATCTTCGCCTTGACGTTTTCAATGGTGTCACTGGGCTCCACCTCCAGGGTGATGGTCTTCCCAGTCAAGGTCTTCACAAAGATCTGCATTTTTTATCTGCAATGACATAGCATGGAAAAATCAGAGCATTAGAACATAAATTTCTAAATATACAGAAACCTAACCTTACTTTTTATTTAATCACCCATATCAATGGGACTAAGGCAGATATTGTTCCATCCTATATCCAAAAACCCTATCCTGAACATGAAAGTATTACTGTTGCTGTATTTTTATTTGTCTCATTTCCATACTTCCTATTTCACCCAAGTGACTCCAATGCTAATTTATTAAATAGTAGCCGAGTTCATTTAGAAATGCAATTTTGCACTACTGATTTTTTGAATTTATTTCCACATTCCCATATTTATAAGCAATACACAATGTATAATTTCTACTCTTTATTAAAAAAACCCAAGTACTGCAAGAGTCTCTGCCCCTGAAAGTCACCCCTTAAATTTCCAATACCATCAAAATTGCAACCAAACAGTTGTAGCTACAGCATTGTAAGTGAAGCACACCTACAAAGTTATCTCACAGAATGTCCTTAATGGACTCCTGCATATTTCTATTCTTTCTGACTTAGGATCGCCCATTCTACAAACTGGAAAACCTTAGGTCAGAAGCTGGCACCATTCTTCCACGTTGGGACTTCTAATCCCCATAAATACTGCATCTGACAACCAATATCCAAGGCTATCCTGAAGTGTCTGTAAACAACTCCAGGGAACTGCTAACTCAGAAAGGTTACCCTATAGCATCTATTAGCATAAAAATACAGCATTTTAACCATATCAGGAAATAATTCAAGACTGCAGCAATTGTCATGCAGGTCATGGTTTCACCCAGCAGTCCTATGGCTAAACTGCCCCTTAGGCACTTAATTCTGAGAACGGCTTTACAGCACTGAAAAAAGCAGCATGACCAGTTTTCACACTTATGACAGTTGCAGCATCCCCAGTCCTGTGATTCAGATGCTTGGCAACTGACTCATATTAATGAGTATTTCAGTATCCTGGGGTCATGGATCCCCTTCTGGGACCTTCTGGCAAAGTCAGTGGGGAAGCGGCAAAAAGGCGTAAAATGGGGCAAATCTCACTTAACAAAATGTCTCACTAGCAATCTAAACTTTGGGCTCAAATTGTGCTCTATCGTTCAATCGCCAGCCCTTTCTAAATTTAAAAATTCAGATCCAAATGATGCAATACAGGCAGTCCTCTACTTATAACAGTTCACTTAGTGGCTGTTCAAAGTTACACTGCACCGAAAAAGGGGACTCGTGACCATTTCTCCGACGTATGACCATTGCAATGATCCAAATTTGGATGCTTGGCTACTGGTTCATACCGTATTTATTGACGGCTTGGCGCAGAGTCATGTGATCAACTCTTTCAACTTTCTGACCAGCAAAGTCAATGGGGAAGCCAGATTCACTTAACAACCGGCTTACTAACTTACTAACAGCTGCAACAATTCACTTGATTGTGGCAAGGTGTTAAAATGGGCTAAAACTCACTTAGCAACATAAATTCGGGGCTCAATTGTGGTCATAAGTCGAGGACTATCTGTAACACTCAATTTTTTTTTACCTGCAACGTCACTTTTTGTAATGTCAACTAACTGTGCCAAGGAATTACCCCACCACCCCCCAATCAAGCCAGTAGCCACCATAGGACGCCTTATACTTATTTAGTGGTATAAATACACCTTTAGTGGGAGATTTACTCCCAAGGGGAGGGGAACCCAACCCACCGCCCTCTTCCCTCAAATGGGCTCAAACTACAAATACCCCACAAGGACGGAAGTCCCCATTAACGCCAAGGCACGAGCGCCAGGCTGGGGGAGGCTCGCTTACATTCGTCTGGGAGGAGGAAATCCTACCGAGAAGCAGAGCCTAGCCTAAAGTAGTACGTAGAGAGGATCAGGCCGTCGAAATCCATAACTAACCCTTTCCCGAAAGGCTTTTGGGAGAGGCCGAGGTTTATCGAGAGCCGTCTTCGAATTTTTCTCCCGGCTCCCTTTTTTTCTAAATGTTGACCTCTCGGGCGCCGAAAGCGGCCCCTTTAGCCGCCCCCAACCGCGGCTTTCTCCTTTTGCGGGTTAGTCAGGGCCCTCCTGACGGGCCCGCGCCTCGCCACAATGGGCGATAGTGACGCCACCCGGGGCTAAATGTCCACGAGTAAAGACGGGATAAAAAAAAGTCTTAAAAAAATAACTATGAAGAGTAACGTTAGTAATAATCTGTTCTTCGTCAACTTACCGCTTCACTCAAGCAGCCGAGAGAGAGAATTATCGCAGCACACCGACACCTCACCCAACGCCGACGATTTTTCTCCTTCGCAACGCGTCACTCCTATTTATAGGGTTTCGCTGCTCGTCGCCCCGCCCTTCAGCTTCGCTTTAATATCCTTCCGCCTGAAGAAATAGTCCCCCTGGAGAACGTTCCAGAAGAGCGGCTTCTGCGTCTCGTTTTCCTCTCAGTCGAACGAAAAATGAATAAAACAGAAATCAAATAAATTAAACGAGATATGTTTGTCTGTTAATGTCGGTCTCGAAGGGATTAGGCGGAGGTAGTTAAGGGAGGAAGGATATGAAATAGAAGCAAAAAGTCTCTTGTCGTCGGAAGAATAATGCTACGAAGCGAAGAGGTGGGGCTAAAGCGTTGCTTCGGCCGCCATTGGCGGGAGAGAGAAAGGACGGACGCTGATTGGCTTCCGCTAGATGCAGTCGATAGGAAAGCTCTGGAAAGATCGGGACTCTGAGCCTGGGCGGTTGGGGGGGGAGGGAGAAGTAGCCCACAGAAGCCCGCCTCTGATTGGTGAGCAGTGAGATCATTCTTGTTGCTAAGGTCCTGGGTCTCTGAGAAGCAGATTTCGAGAAAGGGCAGGAAGGAAGAAACAGGCGGATGGCCTGTTGGCGCATGCGCAGACGAGGCAAGTCGGTGTTTGGGTGGGGGGAGTAGGACTGTTTTGAGGGGCAAAGGGCGGGAAAGCGTCTCTGAGGCGGTTAATCACCGATCAAGGGTCAAAAAATATAAGGAAAAAGAGATAAAAGAATACATAAAAGCCTTTTTTGAGTTAGAAATCAGAGTATATTTTAGGGTCAGGGTGTTTTTTTTTTCCTTCTGCCACTGCTTTTCTGAAGAGGAAGTTTGACTGCCTTGAGAACAAGCTTAATTTTCTTTTGTTGTTTTCCTATTTCAGCATGAAAGTTCCTTTTGGGGGTTATCATATATGGTTTTAAAAAAACATTAATATAGGGAAAAAATAAAAAGGGAAGGAAGGGGAAAAAGGAAAAAGTTAAAAGAGAAGGAAGGAAGGAAAATGAGAAAGGGAAGAGATAGGAAGGAAAAAGAAAAGGCAAATGAGAAAGGGGGAAAGATAGGAAAGGAAAAGAATGAAAGCAAGAAAGATGAGAAGGAAAAAGGAAGAAAAGGAAAATGAGAAAAGAAAAAGGAAAGGAGAAGAAAGAAGGAATTTGAGAGGAAAAAGACAAGGAAAGAAGGAAGGAAAATGAGAAGGAAAAAGATGGAAAGGAAGAAAAGGAAGGAAAATGAGAAAGGGAGGAAGAAAGGAAGGAAAAAACAGGAAGAAAAAATGAAGGAAGAAAAAACGAAGATGAGAAAGGGAAAAAGATGAGAACAAGAGAGAAGGAGATGAGAAGAAAGGAAGGAAGATTAGAAAGGAAAAAAGATCAAGAAGGAAGGAAAATGAGAAGGAGAAGGAAAAAGAAAAAGAGTGAAATGCAAGAATAACATCCCAAGGGCCTTTTCTTAAAATGCCAAGGCCTCATGTGATAAATAGTTCTGAAAGGACAGAGCCTTCTTATCAATCAGATTTGGTTTCAAAAACAGATGGAAGGCAACAACATAGCTGCTAAGGATTGTTTTTCCCCTACTGCTCTAGTCCTGTTCCTGGAAAATCCTGTTTTTCCTCTCCTCCAGGAAGAGGGAAGCCAGAGACTGAACTTGTTTGCTTCTATGCAGGGTTTTATTATATTTGAAGAGGTAAAAGGCATCTGAAATCCAATCTTTTGTTTATGCTGTTGGCTGCAGGAGTTTCCTCTCTGGATCTCTCCCCAAAATTAGTTCCTCTGCCTGAGGAAGGAGTAGAGAACTGTGGCGTAACTATGGCTTGTTTTATTATAAAGATAATCATCAACTTATGACTGGTCACTTAGCAATCATTCAAAATTACAACAGATCTATCTCCCCAGGCCTACTTATGACCCAAATTCACATTTTGGGCGTTCAATGCCTCTACTGCATTTATGATTGATTGCAGCATCCCAGAGTCGTGGCACCATAAATTACAACTTTTTTTTTCTCTGGAAACCAGCATTTACTTTTGATTTCCGACAAAAAGCACCCATTGCAGACAATGGATTCACTTAATGACTGCTGCAAAAGAGTTTGTAAATTGGGCATTTAAGTGACCCACTTAAATGACCAGCACAACTTAACAACCATAATTCCAGACTCGATTATGGATATACGTTGAGGACTACATTTATAAGCAGGATTACCTTCTGTTTGAAATTTACTATTATGCTGGCCTATGATTGTAAACCTTTATTACATTTAACTTCACTTGCTTCCCTCCCCCATTGATGCATAACAGAGCCACCTTAATTTGTTTTAATTTTTTTTAGTTCAGTGTCTTAAGTGAAACCAGCCCACAGTTTGTGATTCAGCATATTTTGCATGCCTGCAAAAAGGGCTGAAAGAGCTGAGCTGTTATGCAAATCTAACCATTTGTCTTTCATAGATAATAGATAGATTGCACTTTTGTCCCAAACTGGCCCCATAGGTTCCTACTAAATTTCAGAGACATTTTTTTGATAAAGCTGAATCTACAATCATTTGCTGAATACAGTAGGATGGTTTTGTGGAAAACCTCCATTAGAGGAAATTCATTAGCCTTGCGTGAATGCAGAGAATTATCTCCCCATTGGAAACTTACCAAGCATTCTCACTACTGTACTTCTATATTTTCCTAACGACAGAGAAACTGAAAGCAAACGAGTGGGGCAATATTTTTTAACCAATATTTTTACATATTACTTTATTTTGGAGACACCAGCTGCCTCCAAAGCAACTCATGGTTATTCAATGTATAACAGAAAATACAAACACAATTATATAAATAGCAGTCTGGACCACAATACAGGTACTCCTATCTTAATGACAGCAGTTGGGGACAGCAACTCCGTCAATAAGCAACACAGTCATTAAGCAAGACATCACATGACTATGATGGACTTATGATTTAACTTCCACAGTAGTAGTTAAGCAAGGCATCATGTGACTAACTTGTTGAAGCCAGCTGTGAAGCATGAAAATAATGGTCGGATGGCCATGGGATGTTGCAATGATCCTAAACACATTGTGAACAGCCTGATGGTACTCAAGAGCCTCCTTCAAAGTAGAAGGCACCTCCTCTCTCTCAAAGAGATTGACACTATCACATGGACTGAACTACAGGCCACACGCTGGTGGCCTTAATCCAAGAAGGACTTGGATCCCACAGCCAACTGAACTAACAGCACAGAGAACATTGTCCAGTTCTTCAGGAGTCACTCAACCCAGATCACACAAGACCTCACTCCTGGTACCTTGACTCATCTGAGTCAATTCAGCATGAATCTGAGTAAATATTCATCAAAAAGGCAGATTATTCCTCACAGCAGCCTGGTAGATAATCTTGTGTCCTGTCTCTACCTAGCAGGGACCGAATCAACACAAAGAGGGCCACTGGGCAGTTATCAACCGATGCAATAACAGTGGACAAATCTTAATGCTTCGCCACCTTTATCACCACAAGGTAATCTACAATATGGGCTCTTACACATAATCATTTTTTGCATGGATAATTCTCCAGTTGTCTCTTCTGGCACTTCATCTCCTGAAGCTACTCAGTAAATTATTTTTTTTTGTCCTTGAGCACCGTGTACATGGAGAAGTGGTGTTGGGGTGATGAAGTCCAAGGTGCCTGACACCCCCCCCTTTCCAGGTGATGATCAAGATCTTGGTCAAACCACCCACCAGATCCTCAGGGAGAACTCCAGGACCTGTGTAAGGACCTGCCGCAACTAGATCTCTCAAGAAAGCAGAACTCTTGAAACAGGCATTGTCTCAAAAGGAACTTTTTATTGAGAGTTAGTGACAGCAAGGAAGCAAAGCGAGGTCTGTGGAAAAATCCCGCAAAAGCAGCATATCAAAAGCAGTATTCGTTACTCCTCCCCCCAGGGTCCCTCTGTCCATTTGATTTTCAGCCAATCCACAGGTGGCATATTGTTTTGGTAATGGACTCCTCTGGCATGCTCTTCAAGGTCTCTCTCGGCTTCATTTCCCTCCAGCTCCAGGCACAAACAGTCTTCCAGATAAGAGTGATGGCATCCAAGCGCATTCCTTCTCCTGGGGGAAGGGCAATATGGCATAGGCAAAGCATATTGTATATCCTCACATTGTAATGCCCCCTCCCAACAGAATGGCAGGCCCCCCCAAATGGTTATAGAAGTATATATAAGTTAGCAGGGAAAGTAATACATTTCTTCGGAAATCTGACACCCTGTATGGATCCCAATATGTTCCATCTAGTGCAGGGCTTTTCAACCTTTTCACCCATTGTACCACTTTTAGGATACGGCAACATCCGAGTACCACCAGTCACCTAGCAAGGTGTCAAAAACTTGATGACAAAAAAAAGGAAAAAAGTGATAAAGTACAGGTTGTCCTCGACTTACAACAGTTCGCTTAGTGAATGAAGTTACAATGGCACTGAAAAAAGTGCCCCCCAAGCCACAGCTGAGCAAGACACCTGCCTGCCCGCCCAGCAGCACTCTTCCTCCTGTCTGAGGTTTCCATTGTTAAGAGCATTTCTGTTGAGAATTGGCGGGGGTGGGTGGGGTTGGTTTTTATTCCCCCCGTCTGCTGGGTGGTTGCAGCAGGTTTTGGTCACTTCACATGACCCTGGGACACTGTGACCATCATAAATATGAATCGGTTGCCACACATCTGAATGTAAATCACAAGACCCTGGAGAGGCTGCAACATTCCAGGTGATTGGTGCTTCTTCAGGGCTCAGTAGAAGCGCCAGGATCAGCGCTGAACTCCAGCTGGAGCCTGGCACTGATCCTGGCGCTTCCACTGAGCCCTGACAGTCCCCAAAAAGCACCGATCAGCTGGAAAGCAGCACTGATCCTGGCGCTTCCGCTGAGCCCTGACAGCCCTGCATCTCCAGCCATCTTTCACTCAGGCTTGTGCGGTCCTGCCACCGGTTCAGCTCATTCCCCTCCCCTGCTACCACTTGGTCACGTACCACCTGCCAGGTGTCAATGTACCACAGGTGGTACCCATACCACTGATTGAAAAGCCCTGATCTAGTGCCTGAGGCCGGCCGATCAAATAAACG